GCTGGTGGGTTCACTAACAGCTTACATGGACCCAATGGACTTTGGGCGAAGGCGGGGAAGGGATTGGACACCAAAAGGTATTCTAAGAAGGCTGCGGCCGAGGCTGAAGAAAGGCTTACCGCAGCGGTACGCGAGGCCCTGGGAGCGCAGCAGGTGGTGCATACTGGCGATGTGCTACCGCTTCCCTTACCACCACACCCCATAACATATGCGCCACCACCCCCGGCGCAAATCTCGTTCTGCGAACCCGTTTCCCAAGGTCTGCTGATGCCGACGACCAAAATCGTCCTGGTTCAAGCGCGGCCGCATGGCCCTCGGACCCAGCGAAGTTTGAGGTCAGGCTCAGGCTTACTCAAGCAGGTAGCCGAAGATGAGGCTGATGATACCTCCAATGAGCAATTTTACTCGGCTGCCGAAGAGAAGGCCGCAGAGAGTAACACGGAGGTGGAAAGTACCTCTACCGCCGATGAATCGGAGACGGAAGGTTCTGGAGGGAACACGAGTGACACATCGGATGATTCTTTGGATGACATGATCTCCCTTTCTGCCCCTGAACTGCCTCAATCCGGCGTCATGTCCGCGATGACTGCGGCAACTCCACGTGCAGGAGGCCGACGGGCTGACGGCATTCATACTCCAGGTTCCGTAGCCTCAAACTTTACTTCGTCAACCATGCGTCCCGGACGAGTTGGCGGTGGCAAGGTCTTTAAGGCGGAGGGTCTACTGCGTGGCATACCCAATGAACTCTTACATCCTAGGCCGCGGGAAGAAGACGACTCTGAATCGTTCATATTTGTAGATATCAATACACTTGCGAAGATAGGCTGCTTTTCTGGGGATTGGGTGAGGATCGAGGCCACAGAAGAGCCGCAATCCAATATATTCGCCTCCATAAAACTGGGAAGCTTCAATGAACAGAATGAAGACGCTGGTGATTGGCGCGCGGTCAAAATCTATGGTTTGCCCGGCCTTCCATCCGCCAAACCCCGGTATTCAATCAATCAGTCTGGGGAGAGACGCTCAAGCATCTCCCAACGCCCTCCGCTGCGTTTGACACCATCGGTCTTTGTTCCTCCTCTACTCCTGAACAACTTGGAAAACCCGAAATATCTTCGCATATCACCGATGACTTTCATTGGAGGAAATGGGAGTTCAAAACCAGGCCTTCTGAACCAGATGAAGGCCAGCTCGGCAAGAAACCCACCTTTGGCAAAGGAAGTGACTTTGCTCAAAGTATCTACCCCACTCTCCATGGATCGCGCTCTTCAACCGGCCTTGTTTGCCGGGCTCAAACAATATTTTGAGTCCAAACGGCGCCTTCTCAAAAGTGGAGATCTCGTGGGAATCAGCGTTGATGAAGGTCTTGGTAGAGCTGTATTCTCAGGACCTGCTGCGAGCGACGGGGTAGCTCCGGATGATGATCTTACGACCCGGTTAGGCCAGGTGGTGGATTCTGATCGTGCCGGATCGAGAAAGGTTGGTGTCGCTTGGTTTCGCGTTGGACAAGTGCTTCCTAGCTTGTCGGATGAGCCAGATGAAGCGAGAGAAGACCAGTGGGGAGGTGTTGCTATCATTGATTCGGCGACTACTAGAATGGTACAGGCTGGGAGCGATGTGAGCAGAGTCCCGGGCACTCTGAACAATGGCTGGGAGTACTGGCTTGGGGTGAAGGCCGTGCCGAAGACTGCTGGCGACGTCCAAACCCCTCATGGCCTGGTAACTGAATCGCCGCAGTCGTATGTACCGCCTCTCCAAGAGCGCCTCCGAGACTTGATGTCGGTAGCTACAAGTCCTCGCGCCATCCAGCTCGGCATGAAACCTGTCGTCATACTGCTGAGATCCCAGCAAAGACACATAGGAAAGGCTACGCTGGCAGCACGAGCATGCGCAGATATTGGTCTTCATACCTTCTCGATCGACTCGTACGATATATTAACCGAAGGCGGAGCGAACGGTGGTGACGTGAAAACTGAAGCATACCTGAAGGCTAGAGCGGATCGCGCATTCCATTGTGGAGCCAACTGCACAGCCCTTCTGATAAAGCATATTGACGTCTTAACGGCGGACAGGATCGTTTCTGCAATGAATGAGATCGTGGCCGATGCAAGGGTCATAGTGGCCACGACAACAGATGTCGAACAAATCCCGGAGGGCATTCGCAGCCTGTTTACCCATGAATTTGAGATGATGGCACCGGAGGAAAAAGAGCGTGAAGGCATCCTTCATAATGCTATTTCTGAACGAGGCATCAAGATCTCCCCTGATGTAGATCTAGGCTCGGTGGCGCTTAAAACTGCTGCTCTAGTTGCGGGAGATCTGGTTGACGTTGTTGAACGTGCTTCTTCCGTGAGGGCTGCACGTCTGGAGAAATTAGCCGAAACCGCAAGCGAAAACTCGGAGTCAAAAGTTAGCACCAGGGACGTTCTTGTTTCCGGGGGTGATGCAGCCCGAGGCGTTACCAAGGCCGACTTTGACGCAGCTGTTGATGCCGCAAGGAAGAATTTTGCTGATTCAATCGGCGCGCCAAAGATCCCGAACGTTAGCTGGGATGATGTGGGTGGTTTGACAAATGTCAAGGATGCTCTCATTGAAACCATCCAACTGCCCCTAGAGCGACCTGAGCTATTCGCCAAAGGCATGAAGAAACGCAGCGGTATCTTATTCTACGGACCGCCAGGTACGGGAAAGACTTTACTCGCCAAGGCGATTGCCACAGAGTTCTCTTTGAACTTCTTCTCCGTCAAGGGGCCTGAGTTACTTAATATGTACATTGGTGAATCCGAAGCGAACGTTAGGCGCGTCTTTCAACGCGCTCGGGATGCTCGCCCGTGTGTTGTGTTCTTTGATGAACTGGACTCAGTCGCTCCGAAGCGTGGAAACCAAGGAGATAGCGGTGGTGTAATGGACCGTATCGTCAGTCAGCTGCTTGCCGAACTAGATGGTATGAATGGTGGCGAGGAAAACAGCGGCGGTGTTTTCGTAATTGGCGCTACAAACCGCCCGGATTTGTTAGACACGGCACTCCTACGTCCCGGTCGTTTCGACAAGATGCTCTACCTTGGAGTGTCTGACACACACGAGAAACAAGCCACGATCCTAGAAGCGCTTACAAGGAAGTTTGCTCTTGCACCTGAGGTATCACTGCGCAGGGTTGCGGAGCAGCTGCCTCTTACGTACACGGGTGCTGACTTGTATGCCCTGTGTTCCGATGCTATGCTCAAGGCTATCACTCGGAAGGCAACAGCGGTGGATGAGAAGATCAAACAGCTGCCAGGAGAACCTGTCACCACTGCTTACTTCTTTGACCACCTTGCCACACCGGAAGATGTAACGGTTACGGTTGCAGAGGAGGACTTCATTCAGGCACAGAACGAACTCGTCCCCAGTGTTAGGTATGTATTATTGATATGTTTTGCTATAGTTTTCTCGAAACAGATGAATACTAACGGTATGCAGTGCCAAAGAGTTGGAGCATTTCGAACGTATCCGACAGACATTCGAGTCTGTTGATAAGAAACAAGATTCAAGCAACAATTCTGCGGCGCAGCCACCTCGAACTATCGCAGATGCTCTTGAAGCACTCGAACTAGGAGACCAACTGAATGGTAGTATAGGTGGACCTGTCACGAATGGCGATTACCTTCCTGCAGGCAGCGGCAAAGGTAAAGGGAAAAATGGACAGCAAACCATGCGGAGCGTGAGTAATCACTCGACTAGCAGTAAAGGGAAAGGCAAGAGCCCCGCTGGCGCCGGAGCGAAATTGAAGAATAAGAGCCTCGCTGCTCCTAGCAACGATTCTGATTCTTCTCTTGATGGTCCCACTCCGGGCTCAAGGGCCGATAAGAGTATTTCCCACTACGATGATGTTGGTGAGGAAGATGGCGCTACCAATGGCGATGAGGATTACATCATTCGGACCGACCATCTTGTTCATGCCGACGGTGATAGCTCGAAGTGAACAGGCGTTGATGCTCAGGCGCATTTGGCCTTATCGGAAATCTGACCGGGGTTGGTACTAGTTGTGTATAGGTATGAATCAAGGCCTTGGGAATGTGTATATAATGTTACATTTGAGCAGCATGAAGAAGACGACTGGCTACTACTATGATGCCCAGAAAGATTCTTTGTATATCCCGTGACAATCGTGGCCTGAGGCACGGTCGGGGAACTACTATGTATTCAATTATCAGACGCACATATTGATGAACTCCACACAGCCTTATCAAAGGTTGAATTAAATGACTCAACTCTTTCGATAACGTCACTATCTCTCATTTTGTTGAAGATAATCTATCTTTCCATTATATTTCGATATTACAATAGACAAGCTCCCACACCAGACCAAGAATAGCCAACGGAAGGCTGCGGTTCCTCTGGACCGAAGCTTGGGTTCCATATCTTAATACCTTAATCACTGCGGATCCACCAATTGACTTGTTCTCACTGGCCTTCGGCGCCTGGTGCTCGGCGATGATGGCGAATCATAGCGCTGCGCGATAAAATATACCTCTGATCTGCTCCATCCATGGACTTCCATACGCTTTTCTTATCGGAGCTACTCCGGAGTATGTCGCTATCAAGAGTTAAGATTGACCCCATTGCACATTAGGTAACCGCGGTCCTGTCGCCACTATCCCCCGCAATCCGCGGTGGACCCGTTTTTCCCAGAACGCTTGATGGCCGAGTTTGGGGGGAATGTTGGGTTATATCCCCGAGAATGATTGACCCCGGTGGAGGAAACAGGGAAAAGGGATCAGTGTGCCTCATGGTGGAGGGTTGTGTCTGTGGTGTGCTGTTCTATTCTCTTTTCCACCTTCTTCTCCTCCCCTTCCTTTCCAATACCTAGTCCAATTGAGTCGACCTCCTTTGATAGTATTTTCTCCCAATCTGGCTCTTTTTTGGTTAGGTCTTTGATCAATTGTCTTCTTGTTTTTTTTTTTTTTTTTTTTTTATTTTTTTTTTTTTTTTTTTTTTTAATAACGTGCACAACTATCCTTGCAATGGCTGATACGTCTGCCATGAAAGACATACGGGGGGACGATGATGCTCAGTTGGCGGCCATGGGCCATAAGGCCGAGTTGAAGCGAAATTTCTCACTTTTGTATGTTCCAGTATCTCTAAGCATCTTGCTCGAATCGAGACTGACTCTCGCCTACCTAACTCAGGTCTATGTTAGGACTGGCTTTTGCTATTCTAAATGTATGTGACACAACGCAAAGACTCCTTCACCATTGGACGCCTCATGAGCAATGCTGCAGGGGCACGTTGGGGAAAGGCATACCAAGCCACGAGACCTTGGAAAGTAATTAACTTTAATTCTGGTTACAGTCTTGGACCGCTCTATCGGCGAGCTTATCTCTTAGCCTACCGTCTGGAGGCTGTGTAAGCGTGGTCTGGGGTAAGATGATCCTCCTTTATGCTCTCTTGCTTCTTTTCTATATCTTAGTTACTTCAAAATGCTATATGTAGCTCCCCACTGACTTAGTTTTCTACAGGCTTGATCACGGCAGGTGTATGTAACCTTTGTATAGCAACTTCGCTTGCGGAGTTCTTGTCCGCTTATCCCACGTGAGTACAACTCGGGCATACATCTTGTCCCTTGTCTTGTCTGACTGTGAATGTAGGGCTGGTGGACAATACCATTGGGTTGCAGGTAAGCCTCTCCTAAGCATCTTCGTGGAAGTTCTTGAGTCGTGACTAACAACCTGGCCTAACAGTTAGTAAGTATTCAACGTCACTATACTCAACCCCATGCAATATGCTGAACATCATAAGTTTCTTGGGAACGATGGATGCCCATACTTTCATGGATCACCGGCTGGGCCAATGTTTCTGGCTGGGTAGGTTGACACGACCTATGTCGGGAATAATCCAGGCTAATCGTTCTAGCTTGCATTGACCGCTACCGGTGGGCTGCTGGGCAGCGAGTTGATTCTGGGCATAATCTCATTAATGCATCCGGTAACAACCCCATACTTCATTAGGTCGACCTCTCCCGCTGACTATTCTCGTCAGACCTTTGAAGCACAGCGTTGGCATCAATTTTTGATTTATACCGGCTACAATATTGCTGCATTCATCATCAACGCCATCATGAACAATGGTCTTCCGTACTTCACTAAGGGTGCCTGTAAGTTAGACCTGTGTCCCTATGTCTTTTTTGAAGCGGATAAAAGTGCTGAATCTACTCAAGTTATTTGGTCCTTATCCGGATTTGCCATCGTCTCGATAACGCTTCTTGCATGCTCGTCACCCAACTACAACTCGGGCGAGTAAGGCTCACATTCATTATTCCGGTTCCGTATTTAGTGTACTGACCAAATTAGGTTTGTGTTTGGAAAATTTATCAATGAAACAGGATGTATGCTGATTTGCTCCCCCCCCCCTCACCCCTACCCCTCTCTCTGTTTGGTCTTTGGGTGGGGACTAATTGACTGTAGGGCCGGATGGCGTTGCTTGGCTACTTGGAGTACGTTGTGCGCAGTGGATTTGCTGACGAATTGCATTTCTAACTCATATGTAGCTTCTCCAAGGTGGACTTGGTCTTACGGGCTTTGTAAGTTATCGTCATTCGCTCAGTTCTATATCCAGTCACTAATCAATGTATAGGATGGGGTTGCCCATATGATCGAAGGTATGCAATATATATAACGCGCGGAAAGCTGCGTTACTAATTTGACTCTGTTACAGAAATCCCCAATCCATCTGTCGTGGGCCCTAAGATTATGATAGGGTGCGTGTGTATCGGTACGGTGACGGGCTCTATCTTTTTGATTGTACTCCTCTTTGTTGCCGGTGACATCTACGAAGTCATCGACTCTGCTGCAGGTTGTCTTCTGCAGATCTTCAAGGATGCAACGGGAAACAATGCCGGCTCAATCTGTCTTCTAATGTATGTTGTTCCTCTTCTGGCTATCAGCGCCAAGTACATAACTAACTAATAACGCATAGGTTCCCCCTTGTTTGCATTCTTTTCGCAGCCACTAGTATTATGACCACCAGTAGCCGTATGATCTACGCTTTTGCAAGGTGAATATGATTGTCTCTGAGTTATACCTCTTGTGAAGCAAAACTGATGACTAGGGGCAGAGATGGCGGCCTTCCTGCTTCCCCCTTCTTTTCTAGGGTTCATCCGAAGCTCAATGTTCCCCTGAATGCCTTGTACCTGACGTTTGCTACTATCACTGTCTTCGGCCTTATTTTCCTTGGGTCTTCGAGGTTAGTTTTCCTATTATAAACGCACTATAGCACTACATTTTTACTAACCCGGGCAGTGCGTTCAACGCTATTATCTCATCATCAGTAGTGATGCTTGACATCGCATACGGTATTCCGATTGCAGTGAACTGCCTACGTGGTCGCACTATGCTGCCTGAACGCTCATTTGTTCTCCCCAATACTTTAGGCTGGATCGCCAACATAGTACGCCCGGCCAGAATAATCAAGGCAGGGACATTAGCTAACACTACTTATAGATTTCTCTTGCCTACATCAGCCTCACGACTGTGCTATTCCTCTTCCCTCCAGTGCTACCTGCGACCGGTAGCAGTATGAGTGAGTGTCACCGATTGTATCCGAGTTAATTGCCGAAGGGACTGCTGACCGAATATGTTTTATTAGACTACTGTGTCGCTGCTTTTGGTATTATTTTTGTCATCTCGACATTTCAATGGATTGTTGATGGCCGCAAGAACTTCACTGGCCCACGGGCTGATGTGGATATCCTTGCAGGCGTAATTGAAGAAGTGCCCACCCACACTGGGACCGCTGAAAACCATGGGAAAAGCGATGGGAAATGAAATTACAATGACTAGTAAGCCTGGATATACTAGTGCTTAGCTTATTATGACCCTACACGACAGAACATAGAACTTCAAGAAATGTATACTTCTGTATAAATATGTTTTACATGAACGGGTGACGTCACACAAGGTCACCTAAGGCACTCAGGCCACCCAGGTCTCATCCAATTCGCCCCAACAACTTTCTTTCCCCACACTTTGCTGGGATCGCCAGAACGACAGCATCCAACGCGGTTCATTTTGGTATAATATATTGTAATACCGCTTGAACAATCTAAAAAGGACACAGGGTGCCGAACACTGTTAGAAGTTGAACTTAACTTGAGGAGCTCCACACAGGAGCCATACTACTCACTCAACCGTTATAGCCATGTTATCTATCTCGTTGCCTTCCTTAAAGAACTTCTTGCCATGGCGCGATCGAACATTTATTGATATCCCGCCAGTCAGGATTCATGAGATCGATACAGCACAAGAGAAGCCGGCTCGGGCTTTGAAACATTTGCTGAAGCTGAACCATGCTAACTACTCCGTACTGTACAATGAGCGGAAGTTCCATAACCATGCGCCTCATGTAAGCCATACTCTATCATATCTTTCATACTGAAAGCAGAGTTGACTCTATGTAGATACTGAGCTCTTCTTTCCTGCAAGGAGCAGATGCGGATGACCTAAATCGTATCTACGAGGCCGAGTCTAAGCTTTTGGACCCCTGGGTTGATTCTCCAGGTGAAATTAGTACTTATGACTGGAGAGACTACTTGGGCCATCGAGAGTATGTATCCTTACTGCGTCCCTGGGCTTACGTATGAGATAGCCTTTAATAGACAGACGTTTTTAACGCCGTTCTAGATACCAAAGAGCGTTTGTGGACTTTTTCGAGGACGAGCTTGTCCGTCACGGATATGACTGGAAGCAAGTCCTCGCAGATTATCTATTTTCTGGGAAGGAGCCGTTGTTCAATTCCCTCGTTGATGATCGTAAGATGATCCCAGTTGAGTTAATGGCAGTTCAATAAAGCTGACATGGCTTAGTTGGTCACCCTTTAATCCACCTCGCCTATGCATTCGAGGTGTCTAGCCGTGAAGTCGCCATGGAAGCCCTTGCCCTTGCAGCTACATGCTATGGGAAAATGCATAAGTATATAGACGATCCTTCTTACTCACAGGCAGAATCTCTATACTCTTCCACCTCCCTACTTGACGTTCTAAACAAGGTACGGTCCGACAAACAGTTCAACGGCCTCTTCGGGACCCCAGGCGACAACAACATGGACACGATTCTACGTCACCATGAAGCCGCCCTCCTCAATCACTGGAATGCGTGGAAGATTGAAGATCCTGTGCAACAATTCCGCGAAAGCCAGGAGCTCGCCGTGGCGCTTTTAACCGCCACTCAAACTCAAACATCGGACAAGTATGACTTTTTCCTCGTCCACACGTTGACAACCAGCCATGCTGTCCGTATTCTCCTACCGCTTATCCCAACACGCTTTCAATATGCACTTGTCAGACAGTGGTGGCTTCTGACTCTGGTCGTATACATTGCGCAACTAAGACCGGAAGTAAAACTCGAACAGATTAAGGACTACGACTTGAAAGGAAGAGACTGGAGATGGACGGCGCAAAAGGCCGTCAAGGGCGAACATTCGACAGATGCCCATTACGTCAAGGCAATCCGTGCGTGTAAGGAAGCTGCTGCGACATGGGGAGACCCGGAACAGTACTATTTAAAAGCGGCTGTCAAGTTCGGTGAGGAGTTCAATGGTTGGGGAGGATTCGTTTGATCAATGGCAGATTTGCTCTTGTCATCTTCGCTCAAATCGACTTTAATGGCATAGTGACAGACGACATAATGTACGATAAGCATGGTTTTTGGATATTGGAAACGTCCGATTATGTTTCCTTTCTGATCAATTTGTGACAAATAACATCTGGAAAAGCATTGAGTTGGACTTAGAACCATCAGTGACCCCATATTGAGAATCAGATATGAATCTCTATTCTACTCACTAGATAATATTGATCACAAGCTCCATTTAAATCCCTACATTCCATGGCATTGCCTTTTTTGTCAAGTACTCAATAGATCTTACAACTCTGCCTGAGGCATTAAGATCATGGACAATAACACGTGATGCACGTTTAGAGCTTGTTTAATAAAGTAATTTTGGAGCAATTTGACCATAGTATCTCAACATCCGTGACCACAGTCGCTTTCTACAACTTATGTCCATAAATTGACTTTAATAAAAGACCATACTAATAAAGGCAGCTAACAGTTCAATCAGACCATAACTTCGCATACATTTTCATATAATGTCTGCAGTGCAGCAACAAAACGAGCCTACTGCGCTCTATCTACACGCCGAACTTCTCCCTAACATCCGCCACATTACTCTCTACGTGTCACTGCCAGAGGCGATACGATCGCAAAATGTTCGACCGGAGATCTGTCTATCCGATTCGCGTCGTGCCATTACAATATCTCTCCCATTGCCGTACGACCATGTCACAGATACGATTAAGTTGCCAGCCCGAGTTAATGAAGCATCTCGGCTGGCCTTGAGCGTAGCTGGACATCGAGCTACGGATCCTCGGAACCGTGGGCATGGCCAGCTGGAATATTCGTTTAGAATGCAGATTGATGATGAAGATGATTCGTTGCTCTCTCGAGAAGAGCATATGGATAGCTTTGTACCGTGGACCGCGACCGACATGACTTCCTGTTCTAAGCTTCGTTGCCGCCATTGTAGGAATATTGTCCTCGATTCGTATGTGTCGTGTGGTTCTGGTGCTGGAGAAAAGGGTATGCAGGGGTGGATGTGGAAGGATTTGCCTAGTGGAAATTGGGCTGAGATGATGGATTTCTGGCACTGCCACAAGCCTGATCCTCATGAGGGCCATGATCATCATGCAAATGGTGCTACAGCTGAAGACCAGAATGCTACAGTTAAGGGATACGGTGCTGCGAATCAGGTGGTCGCAACTGCAGGGACTGTTCTTGTGGACGTCGCAACATTTCTGCTCACAGATTCCGACTGTAGAGGCTTGAAACAGGTAAGCAGGATATTTCTTCCGGTTGATTTTCATCTGGGATTGTTTTGTTGTTGTACCTTTTGCACACCATCCCTAGGTCTTTATACTTCAACCCTACCTCAATGCATGACCTGGGTAAAAAAAGAAGGAGGCCATTTCATAACCATGCTTTGGTCTTCGATACAATTGCCCTACAACTAGTGCGTCTTGGTTTTCATTTCGGTCAGACATCTGTTATAGAGGTTAAATGGCATCACGGCCCGGTGCAGTTATCTTCTCCGTGATGGATTTCGCACTTCGCCGTGGTTGCCGTTTGGTCTTCAACGTGTTTGGCTCGGGATCAAGATTTCGCCTCGCTGCATTTCTCCGTTGATTCAGTCTGCTCACCCAAAGTCATGGGATCAACGTGATTATAACGAGGTACATACCAACAAGAAATCTGGGAATAGGTTGGATGACTTTACCCTGAATCATCATATGATGATTAAGAAACAGATAGTAAACTATAGTACTTCACAAATATTAAAATGGCTGATCTTCATATGCGCTTCTTAATCATGCTACACCGTTTCCCTAGATTTGCAGCTTGCATAGCATCAGATTGCTGATAAATATACTCTATTAGGTTGAGACAAACAGTACAACAGCCTCTTCAACAGAAGCACAGATGGAGTTGCTTTGCGAGAATTGCAATAGCCTAGTGGGTGTTGAAGACACAGTTGCTAAAGGATGGCGACTATTCAAAACAAGCTTATCTGCAAGCAAGCAGTTGTCGGAAGGTGATTGCAAGAGCCTAGGATGGGAAAGCCATCCTTTAGAGGCAGTTGTAGCAGCACAATTGTTAGAGTTGATTGAAAGAGAAAGTGCTCGACGGTTTGCTCTCCACTGTGGACAAGGGGATGGGCTACTGGTAAGTTGATCTGTTGTTTTTCAGTCTCGTTTTATTTTTTATATATGTTTGTGACTCCTTGGCATATAGATCTGGGTCTTCAATCCGGACATGCGATATTCGAATTCTAGCTCGGACCATAGTATAACTGCGCAGCGGGCCATGAAAATCCTTTTCCAGGATGTTATCGATGTGGATGGGATGCTTCATCCGGATCGTGGCAAGGCGTCATCTTTGTCCCTGGAGGAACTTCGACTGCCACCTAGTGTCTTGTCTGCTATCTCGGAAACGTTGACGAGTAGGAACAGGATGCTACCAAAGTCAGCAAGGGAGTTTCGAGAATGGAAGGTTGGCATCATGCATCGACATGACCGGACAAAGAAAGTTTGAGAAGATAACCTCTAATGTATCTCCATAGAAAAAGGATCATTGCGCAAGTTTGCAGTCAACAACCCATGGGCTCATGCTCGACTCTCGTACCAAATCATATTTGACCTTGACCTTCTGCCAGTACTCGCTCTTCAAATGACGACTGACAGCCGAGAACCACAACTTCCGATAGCAACCAGCCATAGCGGTAAGGAAGATATCACCTGGGAACGCTTGGAGGATGTGTCAGCAGAACATACGGAAGTAGAAGATCCTGTTCACTCCCACACTTCAAGCGCCACCAAGTCTGGGAAGACCGTCAAACAACTTGTTGGCACCACGGGTCTCGAGTTGGCGAAGCAATCTTGATAAATCCTCCCAGTTCTTCTGACGAAAATCCACGAGAGACCTCGGGCAGCATACCATCCCCGTCTAAATGTACATCGCCTTGGCTGTCTAAGGCCATCATCCTCGGCAACTCTTTGGAGTGAACAGCTGCAACAAACTTCAAAGGTGAAGAGAAGAGGTTCAGTATCAATCATACGCTAAACCCTGAAAATTTAAACGGTTTACAAACCGAGACCGGCATTCCTTGAAAAAGTTGACAAACTATTCTGCGTTCTCTAAGAGCTCATACTTGTGGACTGTGAGACTTGCTGCTTCTAATTTTACTAGAAAGTGTCTCTGCTGTGAAGGCAACGCATATCAAAGTGCCAATAATTGATTCTTGCTCGTCAGCATAGATCGTCTCTATATAAAATATCATATATCTCAATACCATACTCGTATTTCCAATGCGGTAACCTAAAACATAGCAAAAGCACAGGCATCTACCCTTCGAATGGCGTTTCGTACGGTCTTTCCGCCTGTGGCGTGATTCTTGCGAGATGGCGCCTCTGACCATCCTCCCAGTCGAAAATGGCACTGTGTGCAGCAACTCGGTTCTAGAAAGCAATTAATACCCCTTACCTACAAACGGTCATATGTATACTTACATCCCAAACAACCACAGTATTCGGTCGCCACCTTACTCGAGTCTGAATATCTTGAGACAAGGCAATATGATCGTATAAGAATTTGAGGAGGAAGTCCGACTCTTCTTTCTTGTATCCAACGATGTATCGTGTAACTAATTGTTGTTAAAAAACCCAGTGACGGCTACACTGTTTCAAAAGAGGACTCACATTGTGGGTTCACGAAAAGAGCTTTCTCCCCAGTGACGGGATGTGTCCTCACAACCGGATGCTCGGTGGTAATTGGGTCGCGTCGTGCAATACCACCCTTATTCAAACTGTTGTTGACCTGTTCGACACCGGAGTGAACAGCCTTCAGGCCATGCAATCGCTTGCGGAATTCGGGTGACAATCGCCTGTAAGCCTGGGCCATGTTACAGAACAGAGTGTCTCCGCCGCTTGTCGGGCCATCCAACAAGTACAGGAATGTAGTGCCAGGAGGCTGTTTCTCGAAGGTAACATCAGAGTGCCAAGTAAGCGAGTTGGTGTGGGTTTCCAGGAATTCAGCTCCGCTCCTATCGTCTGCTCCACGGTGAACGAGATGAATCTCGGGGAAGCCCTTAGGTGCTCCAGAGCTCTGATGAATGTGGTGTCGACCGAAATAACCACCAAACTCAAGGGCTTTCTCGATGGGGAGTTGAGCGAAGTCCTGGTCTCGGAAAGCTGGAAAACTCCGTCAGTGAGTGTGATAAAAAATCATGCGTCTTATATGCTATGACATACCGACAACTTTCCTTTGGGCGATGTACAAAGCCAGCTGGTCTTTACCCTTATCGGTCAACTGGCTCAGTTGGATACCGTGAACTTCGCTACCAATGGTTGGGGTAAGCTCCTCCACCTCGCCCTTGCCCTCAGGGAAGAGATCTGGGAAAGTTTGGTCGGCATCCTTTCCATGGTCATAGTGCTCAAAGGGTTGAAGTGGTGGATATCTATCGAGTGGTGAGCTGCTATGCCCAAGCGATTAAACATGGTGCAATATCAGGATCCTATACTTCTCTGTTTCGTTATCCCAGACGGGGAGATAGTTCGGGAACGATGCCGGCGGCTGTTTTGTGGTACCTTTGATCTCATTATCATGTTGATAAGTTTCACGGTATCCTACTCCATTCTCCTTATTGTAACCAGCATCGGTTCTAAGGGAGGTCTTTGGTGCTGAGTGGAGTGAGACGGTCTCTGTTATAGATGGGGCCATCTTTGTAGATTTGCGTGAAAGTTGATGCTCTTTTGATTTGTCTTCTGTTCCAACAAGCATTGATCTAACGCTAGGAGCTATCTCCTAGATATATCCATCACATCACATTTAACCGTCCGTGTCAGATCCGATTATCCGTCTGATGGCCGATGATTGTGCAATATTTGCGGGGTATGTTCAATATCACGCCCTGTTCAAGCGTACATCTTGCAAGGAGTTTCATACATCGCGCGGGGTTACTGGGGATGACTGCCAGAACCAGCCAAGTACAACACAATGCTAAGAAAACGGCCGGTGAATCACAAAGCGATCTGATTGCGTGATGAGACAGGATTTGCGGAGTGAAAGCCTATCCATTGTATGCTGACTCGGCGTCGCAGAGCTCTGTCCCGGTTGTTTGTCCCGTGCTAAGTTCTGGATTCGAACCGATCAAGGAGACATACTTTTGTCTCATTTTCGTTGGGCAAATAGAAAACTGAAATACTCGGGCTGACGACAAGTAGAATATGGTCGATGCTTTTACTATCTAAGGTGATACGCGGCCGTGGTTGTTGTTGCAACTGCGGGCCAAGTATGACGTGCTAGCACGACCCATTCGCGCAACCCTAAGCTACAATCTAACCATACTCCGCTGCTGAATTTAATCCACGAAGCACACTAAAGTGGGCCTCCTCCATTTACCTAGGTAGAGGGTCAATGAAGGAGTTACTCGGCATGGAATCTACTGCGGTTACAATGATTGCCTCCCGCAACCATTCGCTTTTCGCATGTGTGAGCCTCAGAAAGGAAAATCAACAAACACTTCACCCTCAGTTTGTGAAAGGGAATAAGAGTCAGAGACACAAATTCTTGAGATTGCACATATCATGCAGCTTGTCCTAGCATAGTGCACAAGCCTCCAATCAGGGTTCGCCCTAATGTCGCAATGGTGATGGCGAAATATGCCACCATAAGCCAGTACGATGATGAAATTGGCCCTCCTTTGCGTTGCAGAGAAGGCAGCAGACCAGCTTCCCTTTGCTACTAACATGGACTCTGCGGCAAAACATATGAAGGCCGGCAATTGCTGCTAGCCAACCAGCCCAGATCAAACGCTAGATGACACCCCTGCTTCTTTCCGTTGTCATGACTCGCCCTTCATAACGTCAATGTTGTACCATTTGCGTGATGGTGTCCACAACGTATCCCCTTATGGGTCTTAGATGATTGGTCCAATACAATCAAGAATTGCTTTGGCTTTCTTAACTTACCAAAGCTTTATTAGACAATAGCACTATTAGCTGCTTCGCAGCCATGCCGATGTTCGCCGCGATCTGCAGCATTTTATCACAGCTCCATCGGCAAGAGATATCGAACGGTCTGATAACTTCTTAGACACTGCGTTTACATGTCCTAATTGGCTCTGGATAACTGCCTACGATGCGTGCTCGTCGCGTAGTCTCAACTAGCTTCAGCCTTAAGCACAAAATTGCGATGGCGTGATAGAATCACCACTGCCTCGACTAGCGATAGCTACGAGGCAATATTTATTAATGGCAAATGATGCCCTTGTAGCTTAAACAGCTCATCTATTCCCATCATTGAGTCTGCCGGATAATCGCCGCGTCTAACCATACTGGCAAAATGGCTTCCGACGACTACAAAGAGGCGGCTGCCAATGTTGAGCCGGTAAAAGACGATTCGAAACAAGTCTCAGCAGGGTCCTCTTCCGAGACACTACCTGTCGCTGCGCCCAACCGGGTCAGAGATATAAGTGAGGGCGCTTTTGATACCACCGAAGACCCGAGATATTACAAGCCGATCGACGACTATGAAGGTATACATCGTTGGGACCCAGACTTTGAATGGGAAGAGCAGGAGGAGAAAAAGCTCATAAGAAAGGTATTACCGGGTCGGTCTCATGTTCGGATTAGCTCAGACTGATAACAACGACAGATCGATCTACGAGTCTGTACATTTGCATGTATTACCTTTTTCGCACTACAACTCGACCGAGGCAATATCGTTCAGGCGATGTCTGATAATATGCTGGGCGATCTGGGCATGAACACGAATGACTACAACACCGGCCAAACAATCTTCTACCTCGTTTTCTTGTTTGCGGAACTTCCATCCCAATTGATCTCAAAGAAAATCGGACCAGATCGATGGATTCCGATCCAGATGTTCTGCTGGAGTTTGATTGCCGCCTTCCAGGCTTTCCTTTCGGGAAAAAAGTCATACTATGTCTGCAGGGCGTTGTTGGCTCTTTTTGAGGGTGGATTGTGAGTTTAATTGTGCATCTGAGGTCTCATTTCATAGCCCATTAACACGTGGCAGCATCCCGGATACTATTCTTTTTCTCTCCTTTTGGTACAAGTCTAAGGAGTTACCTATCCGATTGAGTTATTTCTGGGTTTCCTATGAGGGGACATCGATTGTCAGTGCATTCTTAGCATATGGCTTCTTACACGTGCGGAGGCCTGACGGTACCGGTGGCTGGCGGTATTTGTTTGCCTTTGAGGGTCTGATAACAGGAGTCATTGCGATCATTGCAGCGTTCTGGATGCCGGCATCACCTACTCAAACCAAAGGCGGTTTTCGCGGCAAAGATGGCTGGTTCAACGAGCGTGAAGAGAAGATCATGGTCAACCGAGTGCTCCGCGATGATCCGAGCAAGGGAGGCATGCACAACCGACAGGCTGTGACGCTTAAGATGCTTTGGGAGGCCCTTTGCGACTATGACATGTGGCCCATCTACCTGCTAGGATTAACATGGATGATCCCCAATTCACCAGCAACAAACTACATCACCATACAGCTGAAGTCGTTGGGATTCGGTACATTTGAGACGAATCTCTTGACAATCCCAGCTTACGTGATTTTCATTATCAACCTACTTGTATGGACCTGGATCTCAGAGCGGTTTTACCAACGATTGATTCTAGGAGTCGGGTCGATGCTTTGGTGCTTGGTTCTCTTGATCGCGCTTGAGACCCTGCCAGATAATGCTAGCCCTTGGTCTCGGTGGATCATTAATATTCTACTGATCGGAGCACCATATGTGCATGCCATAATTGTCGCCATGACCTCTCGAAACGCCGGCACGGTTCGTACGAGAACAGTTGCCAGTGCGGTTTACAACATGATGGTCCAGACGTCAAGCATTATCTCCAACAATGTGAGTGAACTCTCCCACCTCCAGCCACTCGCACCAGTGGATATATGTTGATCTTTGCTCTTCTAGATATATCGTGAAAATGACAAACCGTACTATCGCACTGGAAACAAGGTCCTCATTGCGTTGACCGTTTGGAGCATTTTCGTGTTCATCGGAGCCAAGTACTACTACATGTGGCGCAACAAGTACGTTATCTACTAAACTCATTGAGATCAATCCGATACGGATACTGACACGCCTGACCTATATAGGAAGAATGCCGAAAAGTGGGATGTCATGTCTAGCGCCGAGAGAGAGGAGTATCTGGCTGCTAACGGGCACCTGGGCAACAAACGGTATGTGGCTTTCTGGCCTCTTTGGCGGTGCCTTCGCTAACTCTTTCCAGACTCGATTTTAGATTCATCCATTAAATATATGAGCAAAGCGAGCTAGATCCAGCTGGACATGGATCAGGGGTGCTAGTTATGATTAAAAAGTCTTTGTGATACCACTTCGTTTATAATTAGAGAATTAGACGGCCAACCGTCAATAGATTCAAATAGAAGAGTCCAAAAATGCATGCCGCTCACATTAGAACCTTAGTCGTATGATATATACACCTTGCACCAACCGTATCCGAACTCTTCTACTCCCCAATCACATACTCACACCCGTCTTCCCCAATCCACACCTCATGCAGCTTTCCAGCCGGTACATCGACCCGGGCCCCAACCCCAAATGTCTCCTTCTTAACCTCCCCATTATTGAATTGAACATTGTCCTCCGGATACGTAATTGTAAGGGTACCCTGTCGAATAAGATGTGTTGTTAAGCCCGCATGTCTATGGGGCGAGTAATATGCATTGCTATACAGCGCACAGAAGTAAGCCCAAGCCTACGCATACCGATACAAGTTCTTAAATAATCAGTAATTTGACTTACCTGCCATCAGACCAGGTAAAGATATGTCGGAAACCCCAGTCTCGGACGAGACGTTCACACTCGCTGCGGGTTCCGATAGGGTAAATTTGTGTTTCTGCCATGATTATTCCTATAGATTGCTGACAAGATGCATAAAGAGCGTCATTCCATTTAGGTGAGCGTTCATAAAAGGTGTTTTGGCTATGGTACGTTGAGTCTCTGGAATGGCGGGAAGACAAACGATGACGTCGTGGGATGCACATCCAGCGTTCTAGAAGATTGCCTGATTCTTTAGAAGGGGGTTGTCACGTGGGTGATGTCCTTTGGTTGTTTTTATTGGACGGATATTCTTTCTAATCGTTGGAAGGGGGGCCATGGACTTATAGTCATCCTCAAGCAAGGTTGGATTATCTAGGAGGGCTGTACATGTAGTCAGTAGGTTAATTCAGGTGGTTGGGTAAACACTCAGTAAAGTCACTGGTCTATGTGGTTATCAATTATTTCATGGTAGTATAAATCCTGCCTGCATGGCCGGGCAATGAACACTGCCAGATCAGGAAGGAGCTACGCGTGACTTGGGAGGTAGATCAAGTCTTCTAGGTTGTGAATTCTCCTCACGCTTTGATCGCCACCATCAGCTGGATATTTCATCAATTGAGCCAAATAATTGCTCTTCTATGATTGCATTAAGTTTTTGCGGATATCCCATACTATCGTACAATTCCTGTTTCCAAAATCTTTCCCAGCTATGTGGCCCATCCCAGATTTAAGGGCTCCTGTCTGAGGAGTAATTGGTGTTTGCCGCCGCTGTCGTCCCTGATCATTCCACGATTTGTTCCACCCCCAAGGAACAACGAAAAGAAAGGACGATTTGACGGTTTTCAAGGGTGTTTTGAAGTGGATGGCGTCTATTATCCTCCTTTTTCCCCTGGAGAAAGAGGTACCAAGGTCCCCCAGTATTGATTAATGTCTTCAAGTGATCTGCTAGGACATCAGTAAAGGTATTCTTCTATATTGCTGGTCGTTAAAGCTTACCGGATGTCGTCAACCAACAGGAGTACCGCAGACATGGCAATTTTTTCCGGGGATCACCCAGGTCTCCTTTCCACATTTCTCACACTCAGGGCAGCGTCTTCCTGGCATCTGGTGCATAGATCAGAAGATGTTCTTGAGGGAAAAATAACTTTGTCATGTGTACTCACTGGCATGTTGAATATGTTACTATCCTGTACTTCGGTTAAGTTCAAAAGAAGGAAGGTGTTCGGTTGGCTCCGAGATGTGAAAGGCCTCTCAAGTTCCCGGAGATTGGGTACGGTCAAAGTTTAAAGAGGAAAGACTAACAAAAGTTCAAGTTTTGGTGCACAGCTTGTTGGATGCTGAGAGCTTAATCTGATTTCTGGGACGCCAGTCTCCCACCCTTATATAGTTCAGCGGCACTCGATGGATCAAAGACCCTCGCTGAGATCCGAAATTTCAGAAGAGCCATCGGGAGATCTCCATATTAGGGTCGATCGATCGATTGATTGACGACATTAGTTACACTCAATGCATCAAGGCAACTTGCATATAGGGATCCCTGCAAAGCCAACATGTCATGTCAGACCCGAACTATTCGGATGTTCCCGTTCATGACAAGCATTGCATTTCAAAGACTGGGGTTATCACGCAGTGTGATCTGCTCACTACATGGAATATACGTGTCCAAGCGCAAAAGCGGGTCCGGATGATGAGAAGAGGGGGGAAGCGCAAAGAGAAAAGCAAAGGAATATCCCTGTGCGGAAAAGAGGAACGTCTTCGGCGTATATTTTGGAAACCGTTTATGCAGCTAACCATGGATACTCAATATTCGGTAAACCGCCCAACTGGGCCATCTGGATCCCTCTTGAACCCTGAAATGTGACTGGTTGCGAGTCATGTTGGAATGGCACGCGATCTATCCCACCGCCATCGCGCGCAATGGACCAAGCACTTGTGTTACCAACAGGTACATGCCACTCATCAACTTTGGAAAGCCAGCGCGAGTCTACCTCACATAGGCCGTACTCGGTCGAAATTAGTCGCTCGTTGTGATGTTGAATTGAGGGGCTTCTGGCCAGCTTGCACTAGGGTGCACCACACACATCACATATCTTATTTCTCTCCTGTTCGAACCCAGTCTACGCTAGAAAATCGCTTATTGGTTTGCCCCATACATGCATCCCTGTCCTCCGTTTAGACTGAGGTGGATAATGCTTGCGGAGAGAAGAATGTGCACCCAGGCCACTTCAGCCCTGGCTTGTGGTCTCTCTCATTGTACTAAAGCTCCCCCATCACAATCTAGCGGTTAGCGTCAAGCCCCACCGCTCCAATGTGTGTTTGCTAACACGCTGACCCCGTGGGACAGTCATGACGTTCGGGGGGAGTCTTTGTCTCTCTTTCTCTCTGTTCGCCTTTAACTTTTAATTTATTTTTTGGTTCGCTATTCCTCTCTCTCTCTCCTTCTTATCATTGCCATTTGCGGCATTGTGGAGATGTATGCGTATGATCTCTATCCTTTCTTCGTCCCCATTTTTAACATGGTGCTTCACAGGATATGCAGTCCCATCAAAATGGACCAATAACAAGATGGCGGCGAGTGGCACCCTTGACAAGTTTCTGCGCAGATCAGTGCCGGCGCTTCGGGTACGGGTGAGTTGATGGATGCTTCAACAATGGAATACACCTTCAAACCCCCTTTTCCCTTTTCCCTTCTTAGGTACAGTCACCTCAGCCACCTGCAGACTGCCGCCTGTCTGGGTTGAGCTGGGTTGCGAAACTGAACTCTATCAGTATCTCGGCCCCACCTCTGAGGTTGCTTGGTGTATTTCTCACATATTGGTTAATGATTAACCCGGAATTGGATACATAGAAAATGGTCCCTTCCCAGGGTTTTTCCCTGTAATGTTTTGGTCATAATCTGCGAGCTGTCCTGGCCTTGCCAGCACTTATTCTCCGATATCTTGCAGGTGGCTGCTTGCTTTCACAAAGAGTTACCAGTTGGTACTACTCTTGGCTCCTGCCATTTTTGCGGTGCCGTTTGTTAACGGTTGGCGACGACTAGGCAATTGCAATACCTGGAGGCATGCATCGGGTTAGTGTGGTCTCCAACGCCAAGGAAGCCACGCTTGAGAGGCAGCTTCTTCCTATCGATATTGATCCAAATTGACAGGTCGAGTTTGAGTAATTTCGGGTGATCATCTATCAAATCAGAATGGGTCCGGCTATTTCCTCTTTCCCTTTCTTGTTACCCCTCCCTTTTTTTTTTTTTTTTTGGTGTGTGTGTGTGTGTGTGTGTAGGTGTCAATTTCTTGCGTAATTTTTTTTTTGTTTATCTTCTCAAGTTTCTTCCTCCTTGCTTTCGACCCCTTATCTCCGTCCGTAACACGAGAACGGCTAAATCTGAGAACACAGCATATTAATTGTTACGTCATGTGGATTTGTTCTGAGGTGGAAACGGTATCCTGACACCGATACATGTCCAAAGGCCCAGGTTTCGTTCTTCAAGTGGGGATACCCCGTCCATTTCCATCCCAGTACTGCGTTCGAGCCTATGGAGATCCATCACGCATGACCTATCCGTAGATACATAACCTAAATTTAAATTGGCAGCTGTTTATCGTGATTTGGAATATACCCTGTCTCCAGTACTGCGGTTTACCTTGGAACCTTGAAGGTGGACGTGGCCGCACTTTCCAATTTAGACTATTCACCCTCGTTCTACTCCGTACAAACCGGTGTTAACCAAATCTGTAGTCGTATGTTAAATCAAACAACCGAGTCATGTTCGCGCCAAAAACTAGAATTTAAATGAGTCTATGAAGTGTAGTGCTGGATTGAAATCATTAACCCAAAATGACCAGTTTGGTGGCTGGCTGAGTAGCCAGGGAGGGACGATTGAACTTCTTGGGGGAAATGTGTATTATTTTGATGTGACCCAGCTGGAATGACAACTGAGATCCATGATAAACCGATAAAAAGATGCACAAACGTACGAAATCACCGAGTTAAGAAATCAGCTGCATATGCGTTGGCATTCTGTCCGGCTTATCTGTATTGTCGACTTTCAACCACCTTTTCTTTTTCCATCCAGGTTGCCCCTGGCCTTTTGCTTCTTCGGTGTCTCCTTTCAATTTTGTTTTATTTATTTTTTATATTTTTGCCACTCAGGTGGCTTCAGAACGTCGAACACAAACAAATTAGGTGATCCGTTTGATGATACGAACCAGCAGGACGCCATCGGTTTTTGCTCCTGAACAGTCGTACAGGTGGACCAGGCGGTAGCCTTCTTGGAGGCGGTCTAATTTAATACAAGCCCAGGCGGCCGTCGAGTCTCGTCCGAATTCATCGTCTTTAATTTTGAATCTGTGGGATTGTTAGTTTCATTCGTACCTTGGTTGAAGGCTTAGGATCGTCGCTTGAGGGATCGGAAGGCAACTGCCGCCGAGAAGAAACACATACCGGACAAAAGATAACTCTTCAACTAGCCCAGTTAAAGTTGGAAACTGGACCATTTGGCCTTCAAAGTCTGGACTGGCTCCCGAAGCACTCTTTATCGTTTGTTTGTAGTTCTCGGTCTCTGACTCACCCTCGTCTTCCGCGTGAGGCGAAGTAGTGTCCTCAGGCGTCTCGACATGCAAGTCGCAGACTACGTAGGGGTGAAAATGCTTCTCGTTGGTGTGTCCTGAAGGCAAGGGGATGTTCTGGCCTGCGAGAAACTCTATCGAAAGGTCTAGCTGGCGACGCACGATGGTAGAGGCTGCATCGGAGCTCAGATATCCTTGCGGTTTGAGTACCCAACCTTGCTCGTTGGCGAACATGGCGCTGTTAAGCATCATTCCTTTATCGAGGTTCTGCCAGTTCAACGCCACCACCTGCGCGCCTCGGCGCCAAAAGAAGCTGGGGTCGAGATTCGAGGAATTCACCCGCAGACCGTATGGGTAAATCCGCATGAAATGTTTGCGGTTGTGTTCAAACAGGGCTTCGGGATCTTTCGCATGCGCTGCTCGGGCCGCACTTTCTGATAGTGAAAACACGTGTCCGGGTACTTTGGCCTCTGTTACACATGCAGTTAAGACACGTTCTCCTTAGGTTCGGGTAAATTCAATTAGAGGAATTACCTGGTTGTTCAAAGTGACTGAAGTGGAACCCTTTAGTAAATATTGCCAGTCTGCTGAGAGCTTCTAAGATCTTTGACGGTTTCTTTGGCGGTGCATCCGATGGCTTGTTGTCAGTGCTACTCGAGTCGCCTTGATTGGCGTGCTGCTTGAGTGCCTCAAGCTC